ATCTGTGAAGTTTCGGGTATGTCCGGCTTGTGTACGGAGCATGAAAAGGTTAGCTCTTTCTCAGCAGTTAGAATTTTACTTCTTACTTCCTTTCCCAAAATATTCTTCTTTGGTCTGGGGGACTTGTTTTGAATCCACTTTGACCTGGGGGGGCTTTAGTTTGATTCCATCATTCCCCCCTTTTCTTATAGCAAGATTTTAATCATAAAATCTATAGGTTTTCTGTTTTTTTCAGAGCATGGTATTGTTGGGTAAGGACCAAGGCCTGAGTCACTGATATTCGATCCCTAATAAACTGTAGCAGTCTATTGATGATGCATGGTCTGAAGGTTAAGAGAAAGAGAAGAATGACTAGGGGGCCTACTAGGGTGGATACTAGAGTAGTTAACCAGGGGGTTTATTAAACCGTCCTTCGAACCATCCCTGCTTGGATTCACGGTCCCTTTGTCTCTTATCTAACCTTTGACGGAGCTTAGTCATAGAGTCTCTAACAACCCCTGTGTTGCCAGCATAGAAACAACATTCTTTGCCTAGAGCTGCACAAAGCCCTTGAGGAAAAGCAGATCTAGTCCCCTTCTATTTTGCAATACCACTTCTGAGAGGGAGGTTAGAGATTTTTCTAAGTGTGTAATTGACTGTTCTATCTTCATCTACTGCCATCTGTAAGTCTGCATAATATTGTGGTCCTTGTATTAGGGCTGCTGTTCAAGTTCCTACTCCCGCAGCTACCCCTACTCCCAGAAATATTGCTAAAGTTAGGGACACAGGCTCTCTTTTGTACCTTCTTGGTTGTTGTTGTTCAAAGAACTGTTCTACAGACCCTGTGGGGTGATAGAATACTCGGGGCAGGAGCTTAATCATGACATAGTAATCTTGAGAGGTTCTAAGGACCATACTAGCTGCACAGGGAGTCAAACCAGAGTTACATGCCCACCAAGCCCCTTGAGGAGGCAGAAGATAGTAATTTCTTTCTCCTGAGGGTACAGAAATAGTGGAGTTGCAAAGGCGGGCATGAGTTGGAGGTGGGTTTCCTAAGCAGAGCCCAGATCCTGAGACTTCCGTGAGGGTTAGGGGGTGAGTGGTCTCTCTATGACATAAGTTGACTGAAGTGGCATTATTGAAGGCCCCTTGGACTGCTATGCCCTCGTAATAAGGGGGTGCTGCTGCTAAACATAGCCAACAGGATTCAGTTAGGTTGGGGTCTGTCTGTCTAATGGCCTTATATGCTCCTTGGATCAGATTAAACAGTCGGTCCCCCGTGGGTGAAACCTTGTGACTCGGGGAGCTAGAGTTCTGTTTTAACAGGATATTTGCAGGGGAAGTTTCAGAAAAAGGGGTTGGGAATCAAGGCTGGCAGGGGATTCAGGTGACTGGGGATGGGATTCTGAATAGGTAAAACGGGGTTGGGGCCTATAGCTATTGAATAGGGGGAGGTGTCTCTCTTAATAGTAAATAAAAGGCCAGGATCTGTCCCCTCCTTATATATCCTAATTCCCCAAGAATGTCCCTTATCCCAATCTGTGACCTCCCTGCTGTTGTGAATTCTATCTGGAGAGGGTGGCACCATTTACCTTGACAATCCCAATTAGGAGCATTTGGGCTCTTGTGGGAATAATTTGCTTTTACAGTAATATAATCCCAAGATGAGGATGGGGACCACCAGGTATCCCCAGTTGTTTCGCATCCCCAGCTTTTACAGTAAAAATAGTCTCTCCACATTGGGAATTGAGCCACTTAGCTCGATGGTTACCTGGGCAGACATAGAAGGTTAGCTGATGCAACATGGTCCTTGCTTGTTCATGACACCCTCCCCATGTTAAGTGGGGTCCTGCAAACAGGGGATAAGCCTCCAGGCTGGGTACTTTATCAGGATCCATGAAATTTGGTATGTCCCAGGGCGCTGGTGCTCCTAAAGCTAATTTACACAAATCTGGATACAGGGTAGGCCACCAAGTGCCCTTGGGTACCATTTTGTGGGTTTCAAATATCACAATACCCATTTGATTAATCACCCGCCAAGTGGTTAGCACAGGGAGATGGGGACTCCCTTGACTGAGGGCAAACCTACAAACAAGACTTATCAAGTATCTCTGGAGAGTCTTATTTTTAGAGGGGTGGATGTCTTGTGTAGATGTCATTTTCCAATGTCATCCTGGGCTGGGGCTCTCTTGACATGAGAAGCGTGGATCCAGGCTGAAATCCTGTCTACTTTGAGGGCTGTAGGTGTAGTCAGGAGAACCGTGTAGGGTCTTTTCCACCGTGGTTCAAGAGTCTTTACCTTGTGTCTTCTCACGTACACCTGATCTCCAGTTTGGTAGGAGTGGGGTGTTCATGTACTCCCAGGCCAGTAGACAGCAGCCAAGGGCTTCCAAACCTGGTTCTGGATGATCTGAAGGGCTTGGAGTCTTGTTTTCAAGCTGGGGTTATCAAAGGAAGAGGGCAAGGGGGACAAAGTTACATTGAGAACAGGAGGTGGCCCTCCAAAAAGAATTTCGTAGGGGGTTAGACCATGTATAGCAGGAGTATTCCTAGCTTGAAATAGAGCTAGAGGTAGGAGCTGCACCCAGTCTTTAGTGCCAGTCTCTAAAGCTAATTTGGTTAAGGTCTCTTTAATAGTTCTATTCATTCTCTCTACCTGTCCTGAACTCTGGGGTCTGTAAGCACAATGTAATTTCCAAT